TGCGTCGAAGGCATGAGGCTTGCGTCATCAACAGCCCAGCCACAGCCGAGCAGCCACAGCCACGCGTCCACAGCGACCTCCTAAAGCACCGCACGCACACTCGGCGTCATGCCGCAAGTTATCCACTGTTCTCTCCTCGCAAACCCTGTGTATTTTTAGATCCCACGATATACATATATCCTGTGCACCGAGGTTTATCTGCCCGGCCTCGGCAAAACCTGTCGCGATGCGCTCATTACCACAACTCGGCATATTGCCAACCCGATCTGCAGGATCGACATACGCGTACGCATGGACTGAATTTCTCTTCAGTCATACCAAGAACTCGCACGCGCTTTCCGAAGAGCGCGTCGCGATGCCACTCGATCAACCCACGCATTTCAACCAACCTCAAATTTTCCACAGCTTCCGATACCGGCCGCTGGATCCCTCCGAGGGTGAGGATATTCGCCTCTTGTGTCTCTACCCCGGCGAATTTCACGATCCTATCCGATGCGATCTCCTCCACACGAACCTGGATGATGACATCGAATACGAGGCCCTTTCCTACACGTGGGCGTCCGAAGATGGAGACGCTAGTTTATCACAACGGATTCATTGCGCTTACTTTGGAGAGGAACACACCTCGATTCTGCCAGTAACTCTGAGCTGCGCGTCTGCGTTGCGCAGGCTAAGATCTACCTCACAAGAAAGAATGCTGTGGGTCGATGCACTCGCTATTGATCAAAGCAACATGCAAGAGCGAAACCAGCAGGTCTCCATTATGGCGAGGATATACTCAGGCGCTTCGCAAGTTCTGGTCTACCTAGGAGAAGAAGATTTAGGATTCGGTAATCGCAATCTATGGCTAGACACCGAGAGACGACAAGTTGCGCTGAAGAAATTGTTTGCCAAGAGATGGGCCTCGCGGGTATGGGTGATTCAAGAAGCAGCGCTGGCGCAAAAATTAGTGATGGTTACGGGTAACACGTCCTGTCCTATGGATACTAATCTAATGAGCCGCATCCGGGGAAGAGCCAAAATATCTGGATTGCAGATACCCGGTCCACTAGCTTGGGACCCACTAGTCAGTGCGCCAACGAGAGACCTACTCACAATGTTGCATATGACGCGCAATTGTTCGTCGACTGATCCTAGGGACAAGATATACGGCCTTTTAGGCTTGGTCGGCGAGCGCTTGCAGAGTTTGGTGCCGATCGACTACTCGCAAAGTGTGGACGAGGTTATGACACGCGCGGCGGCCGCAATAGTCATCTGCAGAGAAGACTTCGAAATATTAGCATATGCATCGCATAGAGCAAGACCCGCGCGGCATGACTTGCCGACTTGGGTACCAGACTGGACTGAGTGCACAGGCGAGATCACGATACGTCCTCAATTCCAGAGCCCGAAGATAGGACCCTGGAAATCGTTGGAGAAGTTGATGTGGAGCCGGCCTACAGCTGCTCAGACTCGCGAGATAGACTGGGGATCAGTGGTTGATATACCCGCCAGCTGGCCGGCCAGTATCTACTCAAGACCGTCTATTGAAGTTCGCGCACACTGCCTTGCAACCATAGACAGCACCACCGTGCAAGGGGACAACGATACTCAACGATGGCAAAATGCTCAGGATTTTGGTTTTGCCCTGAAGGATCTCATGGATAGTGACGCTGCACCGCGCAGTTTTGATATGCAGTCGTGGCCTACACGTTATAGATGGCTCTTCGATCCCCACTTTACTCGCCTCAACCAACCCCAATCTCGAACAACAAGCGCAGGGGATCTCCACCGGATTGGATTACAACAGTTCTGCGCTGAGCTTCAAACGCTCAGCAAAGACAAACGCATCTTTCGGGCTGGCTACCTCCCCGCGGTAACGAGCCACGACTTCGAGGTGGGCGATACCGTATGGGCGATTGATGGCTGCACAGTTCCGCTTATCCTCAGAGCTGAGCACAACGTAAGGCCCAGGATGGCTGGTCGCCGAAGCTTTGTCATCGTGGGTGACTGCCACCTTTTCGCTTTGTCGCATCTGGATTGTTGGACGACAGCGGGAACAGGACTGGATCAACGATGGGATTTTGATCCTTTTCGCCATATGGATGCGATGGGTACGAAAATGGTCAATATATATTGATGTGTACGCTACTTAATTCGCCGTGAGGTTCAGCCTCAGTCTGGTGTGGACGCGACGCTCACCGATTGGTCAAGCACAGCCGGTGTGATGCATGCACCATGCCACCACCACAAGTCAGGCTCAGTCTGCTGCCTTCCGCCATCCACTACTTCCACCTCAAAGACGACCTCCTTGACTATTGACCTCTACACGTATACGCGCAGCTATATGACAACAACTGTTTCGCACCATGTCGGAAAAAGCATGCGAACATCCGGACATACGAGAATTCGACGGCCTAAGTTGCTGCTTTGCTTGTGGTGAGACGGTGTTCGATGACTCGGTCTTGGTGCCTACCAACCAGATCGTGGATACCGAAGATCATTACCGATATATCAGTCTGAACTACAACCGTGGCCTAGAGATACGGCTGATCGAGCTTCTACCTGGCGAGGAAGCTGATCCCATTCGATGCGAGATCATACATGTCAATCTGGAGGACAGTCCAAACTACGATGCAGTCTCGTATACGTGGGCTACAGAAAGTGGAGACGATAGTTTATGCAAGACTATTCAGGTTTTGCCCGGCGGTTCTATGCTAGTTACTGCGAATTGCGATGTTGCGCTCCGCCAGCTCCGGCGACGTGGGCTTCGACGGCGACTATGGATTGACGCGATATGTAAGTACATCAAATTTTTCAAACCAATTATGCGTTATTGACTTTGTGCATCAGGCATTGACCAAACCAAGGTCAAAGAAAGGAACCACCAAGTCAACCTAATGGATCGCATATACTCCTTCGCCTCCAGCGTGCGAATTTGCGTTCAGGATCCTACAGCTCGATCTAGTGGCTGGGATTATAGCGCTTTGTTTCAATGGTTCGGACAAACCCAAGCTCACGACACTGAGGTTTCCTCTGACAATAACAATCTCCCACCTGGCGATCGTCGTGTACCTCGAAAGCTTCCACTGTATGGACACGTTGCCCCGACGTTGCAACTTCTCTCTCGGAGGTATTTCAAAAGAATCTGGGTGATTCAGGAAGTTGTATTGGCGCGAGCTGCGTATTTGGCTCTTAACGATGAAGAGCTTCTCTTAACGTCGAAGGTCTTGGACAGCTTGATATCCATCTGGAGGCAGCTCAAAAGACCACCACCAAGCGTACTGGGCTGGCGTTCAACTCAAGACACAACAGCAAGCATCCTGTTCTGTCTATATGCTAGCATGCATTGCGAAATGACTGATCCGCGAGATGGTATTTACGCTGTTCTGAGTCTAATGGAGCCTCGGTCTAGGTCACTAATATCAGTGAATTACGCATCGACCGTCGAATCTGTCTATGCAAACGCCGTCGCGGCCATCATCTCGACTCACCAAGATCTGAAAATCTTATCGTATGTCGGTGTTGACACCCTGATTTCCCCTGAGGGGAATACGTCTTCATCTCCCGTGACATCCGTGGGAGGGTGGCAAACGGCCATGTGCCTTGATATGGCACGTCTACGACTATTCGTTTTCGACAGTACCAAAAGCACATCATTCGATCCTCTTCCGCGCGCTACCCCCAAGCCTCTTCCTTCTCAATTCGGGACGCATTCGATAGGACCATGGCGACCAACTGTGCACATCGAAGTAGCTCCGCCAGAAGTTTACCACGAAAGAATCACCTCTGGTGGAAGCCATTCATGCATTGTAGAACTGCCACGGCCAACTCACACAGACTATCTACCCAGAATCTTCATTCGCGCGCATTATATCGATAACGTCGATGTGCCGGCGGTCAGATTCCCAGATGAGGGGGATATAATGACAATTGCGCATCAGGCTTCAGACGATCCTCAGAATTTGACTAAGGCAGAGCTCGCTTGGATACTACCTCTTCTCGGAGGAAGGTCCTCGAAGCGATCCGGTTGGTGGATCACAAACGAGTTCACAAACGAGCCCGAGCTCACGCAGGAGTTCATGGACAGGGTCGAGTCTGGGCAGACGTTAGCTACTGAAGCAAACCTGTATATATCGGAACCGAATCTCGCTGCAATATGGAACTTCTTCCACGAGATAGTCGGTCTCCAGTTCAGCTCTCATTGCTTCTCGGGTCACTTCAGCTTCGGATTTGCTCAAGTAGCAATTCAAACTGGCGACGAGATTTTTGTCGTCGATGGCATGAGAACACCGCTCATTCTGCGCCGAACGGGGCATAATCAGTATAGAATAGTATGTGAATGTTGGTTTTGGGCTGCACTTGAGCTTGATTGTTGGAATCCGGGGACCAAGAAAGGGAAATGGGGGGAAGATGTTGAAAGACCTACGGTAACTCAGACGCGTATGATCGAGATACACTGAGTCGCCTATTGCGTCATGTCTCGGGGGTAGGCATATCATATGCTCTACTTCTCGTGTACCGTAACAGCCAAGCAGAGTAGACTCTATAAGTCCATGGAGTCGTAGCTTCTGACGACGGTACGAGAAGGATGCGGTGTCGCGCCATGTAACAGTAGCGTATGTAACTCTCACTTGCTCCGGAGAGACAAGACAATTCGAAATGTTAAACGTGATATTCACAAGAAGATGTACTATTTGGTGAACCAGTCCACTCGACCGAAGAAGCGCCTTCGCATAGCCGGATGTGGACGCAGCGACAATTCACCCCACTTGTTCCCAACAGCCGGGGCGGTAGCGACGCCATCAAGCCGACACCCTCGATTATGGAAACTAGACATATGCGTTGTATGCTTCCTGCCCGGGCAGATGCGATAGCCCGCAGGCTGTTGAGTTCGCGCGTACAGATGACGTACACATGATGCTCAACCATACACTGCGCTCTCACACTGAATTTCACCTTTCCTCTCGAGATCAGCTTGTCATTGAGAAATACCTATCCCTTTATCGTATCATCCAATTATGTCGCATCAGGAGAACACCAATAATGTCCCCGACGAACACCGTGTTCACAGGACCGGCTCCTGGCTTCCGGCAGACCACCGCGTCCACAAGAAATGGTTAGCGGGCATCATCGAGCGCGTGGAAAACAACCCTCAGGAGCTGCATCCTGTTTTGCGAGAGCTCAAAGACATGATCGAAAACAACGCACGTATCTACATTTTGATCAACTCCATGTTCGAGGAGATACCTACGAAGAAACCGTATAAGAACGATCCAGTGGGTCATAAGCAGGTCCGCGATTACCATCACATGCTGGAGCTGTTCAATCATATTCTTACAACGGCACCTGAATGGAGCGACCACGAGTACTCTGTTGGGATGGTGGGTACGCCATTCAAAGCTATCCTCGACTGGCCGATGGTATGCGACTCCAACAAACCACTCATTGGGCCTCTGCTGACTGTAGCACATAGGGCACGCCGTCTGGATTCGCTTTCTTTCTGGATCCAGAAGTCAACAAGATGATCAAGAAGGTCCTCAACGCATGGGCAGAGTTTCTCGCCTCGCCATCGTCAGCATACGTGCTCAGTGACGACAAGATCGGTTGGCTCAGTGATCACGGCACTCACGATCTCGCATTGACAGCGAACGTTGGCCAAACGTCTTACGCTTTCGAAGAACTCTTCCACTGCGATCCTTCCAAGAAGCACCATGGGTACAAGTCCTGGGATGACTTCTTCACGCGCCACTTCCACGAAGACAAGCGGCCCGTCGCAAGTCCTGATGACGATAGCGTCATCGCTAATGCTTGCGAATCGAAGCCTTATAAGGTAGGGCGTAATGTCTCTGGCGCGACCGCTTTTGGATGAAGGGTCAACCTTATTCGCTCATGGACATGCTCGCCATGGACCCACTGCACGAACAATTCATCGGAGGCACTATCTACCAAGCCTTTCTTTCTGCGCTGAGCTACCACCGCTGGCATGCGCCTGTTAGCGGCAAGGTAGTCAAGTCGTACCTCGTTGAAGGTACCTACTTCTCTGAGCCACTGTTCGAAGGTCTTGGTGACCCCTCAGCTGGGGGCGATATCAACGAGGGCGGCGAGAAGACAGGCCAAGGCTATCTTACCGCTACGGCTACACGCGCTATCATCTTCTTTGAAGCTGATAACAAGGATCTCGGCTTGGTGTGCTTCATGGGCATTGGAATGACTGAGGTTTCGACGTGCGAGACCACTGTCAAGGAGGGCCAACATGTAAAGAAGGGCGATGAGATTGGGATGTTTCACTACGGTGGAAGTACGCACTGTAATCTTCAGGAAGGGTGTGGAGTTGGAGGGATTTCCGGATACGCAGAACGCTGAGCACAACGTGCCTGTGAGAGCGAAGCTCGCGACTGTGAAACAAGCTAAATGATGGGATTGGCGACTGTCAGTAATGAGGGTCATCCTGTGCAACCCTGACAGGATCGCCACAACAAGAAGTGACAGGGGAAGTCCGGCGCCTCCCATAGTCTTCATCTCGCATCTCCTCCCTCAATTCAAACCCGTTATTCATCGCAGCTTCATCATCAAACATGCGACTCGATAACATCGTTTCATTGCGAAAAGACCAGAAACATTGCGATAGCGATACCTAGTGCAGGCCTCCTTGAGTCCTAGCCAATGTGAAGCCTACGCGCAGATTGACATCTGGGCATGTCCATACAGTCAGCCGCACACGTCATCACAACTAATCTTAGCAACGACTTGGCACTTGAGCGTCTCAAAAATACCGAGTCTGTTGGGAACTTCATTCTCCGACGAATAAGGTTGCTTCTCCACCGGTAGGTTTGCATATGTGACATTTGCAACATGATCCACAACCAGCTCTCCTTTCTCTTTCATGTACAAAGCAATGAACACTGATTCGACCCAACGATATCGTGCTTGGTCCTTATCAAAAATAGATTTCATATGCCCGTCGTTTAGTGCAGTTATACGGGCTGTTCAACTTCCACAAAGTGCTTTCGGCAATAGACTATTGCATCTCCAGTGAATCTGCCAGGTTTTTTCGTCGGGATGTTGTAGTTTCGTATCCAATCGATGAATGTCCAAGCCGAGCAGTCCTTCAATACGACAGGTACTGGTGAGATATCATTGTTCCCTAAGTCCAAACGAACCGGGAGGGTTTGATTGGCGATATCTTTCATCATCGATGGCAGCTGAGCAGGAAGGCGCCAAACACAAGAAAATATATTCGTTAAGACTTCCTCGTCCTGAATATCGTGCTCCTCATAATCTGCCATGGCAGCGGGTAGGCTTGCTCTCAGTGTAGCAGCATTGATAATGCTATTCCATATATAAGCAGCTCCGTCACCCCGAGCTTCAAGTTCAACAACGAAGGATGCCGATGGCATGCCCTGGGATGGTAGAGCCGCCAGACGAATCAGCCATTCGAGTACAACGCGCATGTGATCGTGTAAACGGCACCATGTGACAGATTTCGGTGGGCGTGTGACTGCTTCCGACTTAGCCCAGCAAGAGGGGACAAGATTGGTGTAGAATCCTGCATGCATACGGATGTGTAGCTTGGAGTTTTCCAAGCAGAAAGGAATGAGGCCTTCGGCGTGGGCTTCTGGGTTACTGATGCCTTTTGCTTCTTCTTGGAGATTGATGGAACGGATGTTCTTGCGGATATCAATGTGGAGCCTACTGAGTGCATCGATACAGATCGCAGTCGCTGAAAAATAGAGCTTGACGTGTTCATATTCTCCAGTCCAGTTCCATAGACCTGGCGTAACCGGTGCTAACAACTGCTCAAGGACTTGTAGCTCTCGGATAGTGGGTATATGCCACGGGCTCGGCCGCCAATTTAGCACTTGTCGGTGTGTTCCTTCCAGAAACGGACAGAGCCCCTGGTAGTGCTTCGGTAAGATACACGCTTTGCCCGCGAGCGTATCAAAACTTGGAAACGAAGTAATTTGATCCAGAGTGTATTGCACAGCGTCGCAAAATGACGTCGTGAATACATCTTGGACCATTGCATCAGGCTGACGCATATGATAGAAGTCTCGGCCGCTTTGTATAGCTCGGAAGGCAGACTTGTAAACACTGCTCAGACACGGAAATGCTTGCACGACATTAGCGAGGGTATTATCCGTTACGAGCTCTGCAGCGTAATGCAGCATGACTAGCTTGGTCCATCGAGCTGAATGCAGGAGGTTTTCGAATCGTGATGCCCTGGAGCGCATTCCGCGGAAGTCATCATATCCTGGTTCGTCGTAGCTTGATGTGAACGTAATAGTGTTGAAGCGAAGGGGAAGGCCTCGCATCTCCTCCGCGATTGCTTTGCATGTGTAACTCAACTCCAAGCCTCTTCCGTTTACGAAGCGTAGGCTGCGCGACGGGAAGTCGTAGATAAGTCCGTCGTCTTCATGCGAATAGTAGGCGTAGATCTTGTCGCGGAGTTCCCTTGGTAGTCGAAATAGTGGCGATTTACGTTGATCGATCATGTTGATTAGGATGACTAGAATCGATGAGTGAAGCTACTCCAGGTGCTGAGGAATGCGGGGCTTTAAATAAAGCTTGCGCTCCGATGCTTCTGCAGGCAACCTTCGTCATGTGACCCTTCGCCGAGACCTTGGAACCATGTTCTTCATCGAGAACGTACCATGGTATCAATGATAAGCGAAATTTCATGAGCTATCATTGCCGGGCAACACTCGCACTAAGGTGGAGTAGCACGCATGTAGGGAAATGAGTGGAGGCTGTCGCGGCCTACAGTTCTTGCCCTCGCAACTCCTGCCGAAGGGCTGTCCATTTCCATATTTGGTTCGTTTCAAATTGATCAAGTGCAGGTTTATCGGGAACAACCTTACATCTGCGGCTAGAACGTGCATAAGATCCTACTCTTGGAGTACGTCAGCGGGAGGAATAATCAATGCAGCTGGCATTGTCAAAGATACCATACATCATGTCACATGAAGATCAATCTACTTCAACTTTGGTCTGTACTGCTACCAGGGGTTAATTCCATCTATGTATCCGAAAAAATCTAAACTACCACTACTGATATGGATGTATAATAAATCAGAAGTAGCGTACAAGGCCCGCTTCTGTCAGAGACGAACTCTAATCATCATTCTGACTGTGCAAGTAAGTCCTGAAGTGATCTTCCAAGTTACCCGGGAACTCGTGCTTTCGCATGTAATAGAGCACGAAAAACTCATCCATGCCGAATTTGCGACACTCCTCAACTGAGTGAATTGGGGCCCATGTCTCTCCCGGTAATATATCCAGCCTGATCAGTGAATTACCGTCAGCGACATCTTTGAACACAGCTGCCAGCTGTATCGGAACACGCCAGATGTGAGTGAATGGTTGTGGCACGGGACCTCTCCGTGGATTGTCAAGGTCGTAGTTCACAACGTGTTGTGGTAACTGAAGCCTTTTTGTTGCCACACACTCTTGGTACGTCCAGAATAGGGCGGCTGCTGGTTGACGTGCATCTAGGTCAACAACGAATGAGCCTGGAGGCATACCACGTGAAGGTAGTGCAGCTATGCGCATCAACCAGTCCACGAGGATTCTCGGGTAGCAGCCTTGATCCCCGAATAAGCGTGAAGAGGTGGTTCTATCCATTAGGATCGCCCATTCCCAGTAAGACGGCACGAGGTTAGTGGTGAACCCGGCCTGCATCAAGATACGTAATTGCTTGTTCTCTGTGCAAAACGGGATCAGGCCTTCGGCGTGGGCATCAGGACTGTTGACAGCCCTACAATTTTCGCTAAGGATGATGGAGCGTATCGGCTTCCGCGCCTCCGTAGTAAGTCTGCCAAGCGTAGCTATGCATATAGCAGTCGCCGAGAAATAGAACTTTACTTGGCTGTAGATCCTAGGCCAATCGTAGCCCTCTGAATTAGGAGGCATGAGAAGTGCTTCAACGGAAGTCAAGGCGTCAACGGTTGGGATAAGCCACGGATCAGGTCTCCAGGCCAGGATTTGTTGATGTGACCCTGCTCGGAAAGGTGAGAGGGTACCGGGATAGTGATTTGACTTGCTACATGCCAGAGAGATGAGGTGGTCGAATTGTGGGTGATCGGCAATGAGGTCTAGGCTCAGCTGCACAGCCTCGCAGAAGGAAGCGCAAAACGTGTCTCGAGAAAGACTCAATTCGGTCGAGAGCCCCCAAAAGTCATTGCCAAGGCGAATGTTTTGGAAGATGGCTCTGAAATTACTGCTCATAGCTGGGCAAGCGTCGATGACTCTAGCAATGACTTCTTCGGTGACCAACTCAGCAGCGTAATGAAGCATTAAGAGCTTAGTCCACCGGGCCGAGTGGAGCAGATGCTCGAAGCGGGCTGACAGAGAGCGTAATCCGCGAAAGCTGTCCTCTTCTCTTTCCAGACAGCAAGGAGTGAACGTGATGGTGTTCACCTGTAGATGGATGCCCTTCATCTCATCAGCTACCGTCTTGCAGGTACGAGACAGGTCGAGCTCTTTGACACTGGCATATTTCAGTGTCTTCGAAGGGTAATCGTATGCTAAACCCTCTTCATCGTAGGCGTAGTACTCGTATATTTGATCGCGGAGCTCGCGAGGCAAGCGGAAGAGCGGGCATTGGTGCTGGTGGGGTACCGGTGGAAGGTGGGTAGTGGAGGAGGCTATCGTCATGGCTGGCTTTGTTGAATCTAGAAGAAGATTTGGATGTCCGGTGAAGTTAGATGGACAAGAAGGAAGGGGAGGAGTGTAGCAAGTTTTTGTGTTATCCGACTTGGAGGCAGCAGCGCATCACATGACCAAGCTAGTCAACCTGGACCAAGGATCGCAAACTCTCTGTACCACGATATGTTTCTTCCCATGGAAGCATACTTCGCACGCTGCCTAGATCCACTGTACAGACGATGATCGTCGAATTCGCAGCGAGGTAAGTTGTACGCGCACGATTGGTGACTGAGTAGGACGAGGATGCGACATCTTCCTGAACACACAAGTACGAACGCGTAACATGGGTATGGACGTGAGATTTACAGAGTTGGGAAGCACGAAGCCACAGAGCCGGAACAGATTGAACGTGTAGCAATCATGAGGTTATGAAGTTTAAGAAGGCATCACCCATCGCAGCGCGACTTCCTCGAGCCCACTAGCGTCTTGGCATATATTTTCCGCCGCAACACCATCGCCGTCATCACCAGCCCATCGCCAAAGCTGCACGCCGCCCACCTCCCACCATCGCACACCCTCCCCGCCACCCGTGGCCCCTCCCCCACCCCGCAAACCACACAATGCTATCCCGCGCCCTCACCCTGCCCATCCGGCGGCCGTCCACCCTCCAAACCCTCCACACCAGCCTCCGCAGCTCCATCCGCACACGCACCCAGCAC